GTTTCATCACCAATCGAGGTGACATTCTCAATGCAGTAACAGTTACTGCATTGAGAATGTCACCTCGATTGGTGATGAAACGTTTATAATACAATTGCTAAGCTCGGTGAACAACTGAACATCATTGTTTTTATTGTTTTGAACCAGGCAGTATATCCCGGTGCTTAGGTGCTCACCAAACTTACCACCCCTTGAGTATCATTATTGATATTGTCAGCAGTAGTGGAATAACAAAATGTAACCCCTTCTGTGCAGAGTGCGTCTTAATGATTCATGTGCACGGTTCGGTTATAGTGATGTTTACAAAGACTAGTAGCAATACAAGTCATCCAAGCACCATTTCCCACAAGTTGATTGCACCACTCACTCACTGTTTGCCAGTCGACCATGTGGCTCAGGGCTAAAAAGCTTTGAATCCCAGTCTGAGAGTTGACACTACTGATGAGTCACAAAAAGACAAAATACCTTTCCAGTGTTCATCACAAAGATTTTTGTTCCACACAAGTACAATTGGCAATCGATTGGAAAATCGTAATTCGTTAAATATTTGCAAATCTTCAATGGTTATGGCCTTTCAAAATCTGTCGTTTTCTATTTTGAAGAAATATTGACAAATTCAGAACTATTTTGTGCATGTGTTTCCCATATATACTTCCGTATTTCTATAGATTGGTAATCACGGCTCATTAATTGTTCATCGTCGCCTGCAATCAATCAATCAATCTCAAAAAGTGAACATACTTTTAACTACCTGATGTAAGGCTAAAGTTACAACAGAACTGCAATTTATTTTGAACAAATATATCAATTTATGCCATTAAAGTATATCAGTCCTTCCAGTTTTCAATTATGCCTTCCCTGCACCTTTGATTGTGGGCGATTTCAATTTCCTACTCGAATACTTGGATTTTTCACCCGGAACTTGATTGACATGCGGAAAGAAGCTGCCGAGGGAATCACTGTTGACGTGTAAACCGAACTGCGGATGAAACTCCTCTATGGGCCGTGCTTCTTGTAAAGCAGATCATTGAAATTCATGTGAACATTTG